GGCAAATAGTTCAAGAAAAAAAGTGAAAGTAGACCAAATGGGAAAGAAATGAATTTAGACAAACAGTTACAAAAGACTGGCCTTATAATGCTTTGTCCCTTTGACGTTTACTATGATTGGAAATCCTGGGTAATAAAATCATCTTATGCATTATATTCCGTGAATGTATTCCAAAAGGCCAAAGTCGATCACAGAAATCAGCAAAACTGAGTGTGTTCCAGATAATGAAGAGATAAGGTAATATCATTTAATTATCAAACAATATTTCTAATATGTTATAAATGCATCATACAAATTAATAATGCCAATTAAAAAGAACAATACATTTCAATAATAACATTTCATGTTGTTGACTGACATTTTGACATTTTAACGGGAAATGCAGTGTTATTAAAGTGTGTACTTCCAGCTGATTTGCTCAGCTGAATATATTTTGAAAAACAAATTATAAAAGTACATTCATCACATTTATGTTGGAACATTAAATAAATTGCTGCTGTGTAAGATGGTGGGTTGCAGCAGAAGCAGGTGGATGTCTCACACCTCACACAACCCTCAGGAATACACCTTATAAAGAGATAGCTTTTACTGGACAGGTGCATGCTGGGGGAGGAAAAAATAGGAATGACTCAAATTTGTTGTGTTCTACTCTGGTCCTCAAAGTAATTATATATCCAATTCTCTTTCAAGCCTGGCAGGTTAAATGTAGAAACCAATCAACGCCCATTTTATTTCAGAGGAATGGCAATGTTGAAAAGAGTAGAGGAGGGAGTGAAAGTACATTTTTGACCTTTACTGTATATTTAGTTTATTAAAAAAAGTGCTTTGGGGTAACGCCAATGTTGCATAAACACAAATCTAGGATGCTCGTTATATATTATACAAGAGGTCTTATCCTGTTTGTACAAGGTCACAGGTTAGTCATCCCAGGAGGGCTGTGTCAGCAGCAAGGCCATGCAATTTCCCCTAAATCCACTTTAAAGATTAATGTCAAATCATGCCCCTATGGTAAGTGCATGTTATGAACTCCAGTAGTGACTTAACTGGAACATCCATGTGTCTCTGTGTGAATGTGTGTGCAATGTAAAGCCATGTCTTTGCATGTGCTTTTACTGTATGTGTATGAATCCCACACAACTGCATGATTTATTCTGAGCGTAAAGTAAACAGTCAAGAAATGGAAAGGAATCGTACAGTTAGAGGACGAGTCCTTCTCTCTGTCCCCTCCAAGGAAAGATAAAGCCCTTCAGACCACACTGAGAAGAATGTCAGTGCTATTGTCACTACTTATGAAAATAAAATGTCTTAGCCCAAATAAGATTCTCACTATCCTCTCTCTCTTTCAACAAAACACCGTAATTGTGCAAATCAGCTCTTGTCAGAGGCAATGATGCAAGACGCCCTAACTCGCAAGTGCTGCTGCCAAAATGAACTGTCCTCATTGATTAACATTATCAATTACCTCTCCACTCCTAATTGGAATATTATTGCAAATCTAGACAGGGAGAGAGATGCTGTTTACCTTTGCAGCCTAACCTGTTATTTGTCATGTAAGTAGCAGATGTATTGATAACTGCAAATGCTAGAGTCTTAGATATGTGTTACATGTTGCCACATTTGTTGGAAAAACTATTAATCAAGCTTGTGATAATGTTACAATGTACTGCAATTATGCACACTAACCTGCCATATTATTATGCACAGTCATGTACATGGTTGATTAAAGGATTGTTTACAGATGTGACTGAGCTTGGGTTTCACTGAATGCTAATTGGCGGACTTAAATGGAAATGGAGGGTTATTATTAAGATGGCAGCTTTGTGTATTTGTGTACGCAGCATGTTTGCACTCCTCTTTTTCACACGGGGAAACACACATGGCTATTGACAGAGCACTCTGAGTAAAAACAGATTTGCTCATGAGCCAAGCCAAGTCAATAAGTAGAAATATAGACAGTCAACAAAAATAACAAACAGTGGACGCCCACGATGCATGAATCTGTGAATGTTAAGCTGGACGGATTTTAGGCTTGTGCTGACAAACTTGTATGACAAGTATTAACCTCAATATTTATAGTAGGGTCTGATGGTATTGTTTGTGGTGTGGTACGCAATCTTTCATTCCTTTTTAACAGATTGCGCTGGCAATAAGAGCGCAGACACGTGGCAGCGGGCCAGGTGATGACCCTGCGTTGATGGATGTGGCAGCCATGACGAGGAGTTACCAGCTCGCCACGGCGATCCGTATAACAGGAGACAATGTCAGAGCTACACCCGACTTGTCAGGCTAACAGTATTTTATTAGCTGACAACACTGACAAAACATTCACTTTGTCCTGGGACACGGTCTACTGCTAGCCCTGACACTATGCTGCAGGTATCACACACAGAATTGAGAAAACTTAAAGAACTTGAGATATTTAACTATGAATATATTTTTGCTGCTTATTATAGAAGGCATTACACTCCTCTTTTTGCAATTAAATTCATTCGGAAAAATCTTCAGAAAAATCTTTTCAGGCCATCGGATGTGTTCGTAAATTATTCGTAAAGTTTGTATACATATTTTGTCTGTGGCTCATTATTAGAGACAGTTGAAGGTAATTTTCTGGTTGTTTTTCATTACATCCCTGTCCCAGCGGCTTTCAGACCTCAGACATCATTTCTACAAATGTGATTATTTTCAAAATCAACACGACATTTTAATGTCTTATTGTTTGTTTTGCTATAAATAAATAATGTGCTACTGTGGAAGTGCAACATGGAGAAAAAAAACATAAATACAACAACCTAAAAAACATGTTAAACGGCGTTTGATTTATTTATGGAAAAGAAAAGTCCCTATTCTTAATCTGAAATTGTATTTTGGTTGAGGAAGCTAATGAAGAAGAATACTAACACGTAATACAATGATGCTGTGCAAATGCATCAGTTTACTTGACATCTCTGAACTCATTAATGGAAACATGAGACAAAAGGCATTCAAAGACTTTAAATGTCAAACCAGTGTTCACAGTTTGAATTTGATGAGTAACAGAGCTTAAAACATTGAACAGGCAGTTTGATTAAACTCTTCTTTGACCCAGGAGAATACTTGATACGTGTTCCCCATATCTCACATTTCACAGCAAGAATCTCTGTGGATGCCAAACAGACACAATGAGCAAGTTATAAATAAATGTTTATAGTTAAAGGATGTGTTTTTTTTCAAATGACAAAAGAGAAACAAATCAGGTGAAATATAGCAGACCCAGACTATCAAATAAATCAATGGCACACAAAAACATAGACACACAGATCGCTTTATGAAATGTTCAACATTTTGCATATCTTGTTTTAGCTTAAGGTTTCATTCTTATGATATTGAAACCTATAAAATATGTGAATTTACACAATATCTGAATAAACATAAGTGTGTTCCAAACATCCTTTCAAGTAACATGTTTAAAGCATGGTTTTTGAGCCTTTTTGTCACCTCGTTAAGAGTGTCGATCGTTTTTTGTATACTATTTTGGAAATAATGTAGATTACTTATTTTTCACCTCTGTCTCGCGGGTCGTGCATTTGAGTCCTTTTCCCTGGGTTTCCAAGTTCGTGACAAAAGTAATTATTATTATTATTATTATTATTCATTTGTATCACTTGTTTTTGTTTTAGTAACATCTAAATGTCTTTATATATAACTTTTCAAGTAAGTTTTTATGATTGTTTTATATTATCATTTTATTTGTATTAAAGAATGTTGGGCCATTTAGTTTTAGTATAACTTTTTTTTTCACATTACAGTAAATGTCGTTTTTATGACACATAAATTAATAAATATATAAATAAGTGAAAATAAATGTAGAAATACATTAAAGGTATATAATAATGTGCGTTTGGTTTTATTCTAAACTTAATTTTTTTTATTTATAGGCTACATTCTTTTATTTCCATATTTATTTATTTTTTCTTGTATTTATTTATTCCTGCGTTTTTTTCACATGTATTTACTGTTGTATTTTTTTATTCCTGTATTTATTCCCGAATGTTCCTGTATTTATGCATTTATTATTTTTTACTATTTTTTACTTATGTGATGTTCTGTCCTCCATACCTGTGTGCTCGCTGTGTTTAAAGGTAAAGTGTAATCCAAATAATCACATCACAACAACACTAATAATTGGGCGTTCATTCTTTTACAAACACATTGGTAGTCCAGAGGTTTATGCGTTGGTTTTCATGCAGGTGCTTGAGGTTCAACACCCAGTCGAGGGAGTGACATCTTTTGTCTTCTGCTATGTTAAATCTGGAGAAATGTTCCCCATCACTTTTTCTAAGAAAGTGAGGCCATGCTCAAGAGCATTCATCAATAAAAAGGTAGCAGCAGTGCTTGTGTCTACCATAGATATGAACATAGCGACATTTGATCCGACGGCTGCAAATGCAGATAGCTTATCAAACGATAGTCTTTTACTCTGAAGCCCAACACACACACTTGTGAAAATATCAAGCCAAAATACCAGATGCAACTCTAGATAACAATTTGTTATTTATTTTTACATTAATTAAGGATATAATCACTGTTTTCACTGTACCTAAGTCATATCCCCTGCAACTAGATTTTGTTTTTTTAAAACTATTATTCCAATACATCATATTTTAAGTATGCACCATGACAGCAAGTCAAATTCCTCGTACGTGTGAACCTACCTGGCAATAAACCCGTTTCTGATTCTGATTTCTGATTCTGAAAAAGCCACATAACATCAGTTGTAACAATCATTCAAAACTGAGGGCATTAACAGAAAACAAAAGACAAACAAAAACAAAACACAAGTGGTCAGTCAGGAATTAGGGTGTTTGGAAATGTGTAATATGGTTGGGCTTTTTTATTTTGCACAATTTAACTAATTTCCTTGCCCCTAAAGAATAATAAAATACAATGTTCGCGTCTTATGGGTTTGAACTACATTTCCCACAAGCTATAGCCTCATCCAATACCCATAAGTCTTTGCGCCCCTCCACCGGTTACAGAAACAAGAAGGTTGCAGATAACAACGTTTTGCCGAGAAGCTACCATCTACAAAACCAGACTGTAATCATGTTGGGACAAGCTGTGAGGCGATTCACAACGTCTGCTGTTCGTTCTTCACACTATGCAGAAGGACCAGGCAATGTAAGATGATCTCCTTAGAGCAGCGTTATTCTTTAAAATGTAATATTGTCTATATCCGTCCTTGTATGTGTCCATAGGCTAACGTTAGCTACTTGGAGGTCACTTCCGTAATTTGACTAGTAAGTGATTCTAATTCTAGGTAAATTAGCCACGGGTATAGAATTTCTCCTTATAATCTAACATGAGTAGGAATTTCTGAAAGCAACCTTTGATTTGGGCAGTGTGGTAGGACGACCTTCTGGTTAGCAATAGCATTTAAGCTAAGAGGCTGTACATTATTGATGTAAGCTAACTCCTCGGTGCTACATCGTTAGCATGCAACTTTAGCAAACTATGAAAGGACGTGTGAAGTTATCTGACTAGCTGCTTTACATTTATTATGAGCAGATATATTGTTAAGATACTCATGGTAATACATCCAGTATCACTTGAAGTGACTGTAATATACATTCCTTTCGCGGAGTTATTTAGTGCTTTCGGCTAAACTTAAGGTCACAGCAGGATGCTATCACCAAACGAACCTGTAGAAAGGTGCTCTTAACGTTTAGAGATTAGGGAGTTACCTGTATCATTTTAAACATCCCTCATATATTATCTGAAAGTGGATAAATGTAATCATTGCTTAGGGTGCATGCTTTTCAGTGCCCCCTTCATATGGTTTAGGTTTCTATTGTTGCCAATGCTTTAGCTTAGTATATAAAAGGCATGTTATTGACAATGTCCCCTTCATATGGAAAGGGTTTATAATATTTATACATTAAATAAATCACTTTTTTGTGGTGTACATTTTAGTTTAGTGTATAAATGCACATAATTGCACACCCAACAATTATTGACAAGTTGTCCCACTATTTCTATTACATACAGTATCTGGCAAAGAAATTAATAAATATAAAAAAACTTGGGGAATGAGAAGTGTATTATCAAAAGGCGCTTTCACACCCAGTACTTTTCCCCGGAACTATCTAGTAAATCGCGTTCACACCGGAATAAGTTCCCTGAGGGAGGATTACGCAAATGAAGCCGCGGATGTCACTTCTTCTTCTGCTTTGGGTTTACTGGCAGGCTGCAAACAACTTCACAACGTATACTGCCACCCGAAGCCCCGGGTAAATCGCCAGAAGCGCCAACACCTCCTCATCACTCCATCGATCCCACGTTTTATTTTGTGCTGCCATAAGTTAGTCTCTCTCCGTTGGTGCACTGGGCTAATGCTAATGTAAGGAAATAAAATGGCGGCTTCACAAAAACTTTTCAGAGTTTTACAGGGCGTGGTTTGCAATTCGCCCAGCCAATCAGAAATTGTAACTTTTTTCTAGCAGGGACTAAAAAGGGGTGAAAAGGTTCCCGAAAAAGAAGATATTTTTGGTGTGAACGCAACATCCCAGGAACTATCGGAACTATTTCTGGGGAAAGTTCCGATAGTTCTTGGGATTTTGCTTTCTCACCAAAAAGATCTGGAACTAGAACCATAGTTCATGCGAACCTTTTCAGTCCCTGCTAGAGAGGTGGTACTTTCCTGGTGAGGAAAAGGTTACAATTTCTGATTGGCTGGGCGAATTGCAAACCAAGCCCCGTAAAAGTCCGAAAGGTTTTGTCAAGCCGCAATTTTATTTGCTCGCATTAGCATTATTAGCATTAGCCCAGCGCACCAACGGAGAGAAACTAACTTATGGCAACACAAAATAAAACGTGGGAGCGGTGGAGTGATGAGGAGGTGTCTGCGCTTCAGGCGATTTACCCGGGACTTCGGGTGGCGATTTACTCTCAGCCGGAGTCAGGGGGACNACGGGGCTTGTTTGCAATTCGCACAGCCAATCAGAAATTGGAACCTTTTCCTCACCAGGAAAGTACCACATCTCTAGCAGGGACTGAAAAGGGGTGAAAAGGTTTGCATGAACTATGGTTCTAGTTCTAGATCTTTTTGGTGAGAAAGCAAAATNCACTTCTTCTTCTGCTGCTTTGGGTTTACTGGCAGGCCACAAACAACTTCATTTACTCTCAGCCGGAGTCAGGGGGACTTCGGCTGGCAGTATACGCCGTGAAGTTGTTTGTGGCCTGCCAGTAAACCCAAAGCAGCAGAAGAAGAAGTGACGTCAGCGGCTTCATTTGCGTAATCCTCCCTCAGGGACTTATTCCGGTGTGATCGACTAGGACACTTCCGGGACTAAAGAGTTCGGCGGGACTAAGTACTGGGAGCTAAGTACGGCAAAGTACTTGGTGTGAAAGCGGCTATTGAGCCACTTTGTTTCTCATTTTAAATTTGAAAGGCAATACGTGATTGTTTAAATGTATTGTTACCCAGATTCCTGTCTTTTTTCATTTCTCGCCTTGGCTTTTATATTTTCTTAATTAACCTCTTTATAATGACTATTTGTATAGACATGCACATTTTTCAGAATTATCCTGAAAAAAATGTTAATTGCAATAGTACCTTTTCATTTCTTAGAACAATATGCTGCCAACACTCAGTGAATATTGTAACCAAGAGTTATAAATAATTGAATGAACCACTGATTATAACACACTTTTCCTTTTTTTTAGAACCTGCCATTTTCTGTGGACAACAAGTGGCGTCTGCTCGGCATGATGGTGCTGTACTTCGGAAGTGGCTTTGCATTCCCCTTCATTGTCGTCAGACATCAGATCCTGAAGAAGTAAAATGGACCCGTGCTATTCCTCAGCCTTCAAGGTAATTATGATTGCCATGTTTATACAGCATATCTGCTCTCATTAGACCGTCAGGATGTGACATTTACTTCAGCCTTGGTTTGAACAGTGACCTCAGACAATAACGTTCCTTCGCTGCTCCTCTTTAGCCTTTTGCTAAGCGGCATATCTTAAATGAATTACCTGTGTGTCTGATAAATGTCATGTGGGTTGATATTGATGCTATGTTTAGATAAGCCTGCACTTTAATGCAAGTTAATGTGACAGTTTATTGCAGACGTTGATGTGTATCAGGTGGGAGCAGGTCAGAGTTGTTGTCACATTTATCTTTGCTGGTATTTACTCAGAAATTGCTTTTCTGTCATCAGATGCATTCATGTCATCTCATCCCTTTCTGCTCTATTTGCTTGTTCTCCCTGCAGGCTGCCGGCTGGGACACATTTATCCATCAGTGTAATCCATGCAGAGGAATGGGAATCTCTTAATTTTCTTTGTAAATAAAGTTACTCAAATAAATTATACCTCTTTGCTTATTTTTTACAATCCCAGAACATGCTTTAAATGTGAAAGTCATTATACATCCATTATAAATGTATTGCTGATGTTACAAGTCAGCATGTCGATGTGTCCTTTGACAAGAATATTGTCTCCAGGTGGCACCTTTTCGGTCTGCCTCTGTATGAATGCATAATAATGCTGACTTGAATATGTAAAAGCAATTTGAGGGGTGGCACACACTCTAAAATAAATGTGTACACAAAGTCTTATTACCATACCCAAACGGGCTTAATCATCGTAAAACAAGTACGTACATGTGTTTATCATAAAAACTTGATTCATGAACACCTGTTTAGTAGAAGAAGATATACTTTATTAATCCCCAATGGGTAAATTACTTGAATAAAATGTTTTAATGGTACCTGATTAGCTAAATACACAGTTGCATGTAAGTCCTAGAAGCTAATAAGCATATTTTCATAGTAACCAGATCAGTGTTAGTCAAAAAATACTAACTGTAACCTTATCCAAGGGCTGAGTACATCAGAGACTTCACAGATATATATGCAGTTGGCGTAAAGACGGCTTATTATAAAAGTTAACAGAGAACCGATAACTTTGTAAATTCAAACCCGTTGTTGCGAGCAAATGAATAAAGTGGAAATTGAAAATCTTTGTGAAAGGGCATGCATTGAAAAATCCAGTCCCCCTGCTATTACAGCTCCTTTGCTATGTATTGTTCCCCCACTCTATACCTTAGCACTATAGATGAACTATATTGAAAAACCCAATTCAGTTCAATTAACCCTATGCTTCTGGCTATAATTATCCAGGACAATGTATTAAAAAGGGAGGTGTGGATGCTCAATCGGTATGGAACGGGAATAAAAAAGTTAAGAGGATTTCAAAACACCTATTCGGTCTATCTAAACTATGCCTGAAGTAACTTTTACCAATTGGATAAGGTTAGTTTTTCATTTGCTCATGCTGTAAAGCAGAGAGGTACCTGGTTGGCCTTAAGACATAAACAGAGACATAGTGAGACGAGCTGTAAGCATGAGAAACAACCTGCTGTATACCCTTTGTAGCCCCATGATTTTATCTCACACACGCACACACATCTCAGCATCCTGTAAACCTGTCAGGTGGTTTTGTGTTCTCTTGCATTTGTAATGATGTGAGTGCCTCTGGGCATCCCGGATGGAAGAGCATTCAGGTCGTGCGGCTCTTCCTTGGCGGCAATAAAGTTATCAGACATTTAATGGGGTCAACAAGTGGGAGCCGATATTTTATAGGAGTGTTGCGTTGTCCTCACTTAGAATAGGTTGACCTCTGTTAGTAGCTCAAGGGTACGGAGAGTGGCTTTTCTGGTCAAATAACACTGCTCAAAACAGATGCACCGGTGAAGATGGCCGCATTTTCTTTGGCTCGATATTGTTTTGCTTATCTGTATTATTGTGTTGCATTGTTGGAGAAGCCTGTGACCTAAGATTTTCAACGACATAATTACTCTAACTAGGTTAGTTTGACAATAAAGAACCTTGAACAAAAGAAACACCCTGTGGTATCACAGTTTAGTAAACTGATCACACATACACAGCATATTTTTAAATCTGTTAGAAAAACACAATTAACACCTTTAAAGCCACACATATATATATATATTCTGATCAGCACCTTTGCTGTTTTGACATGCACCTTGATTTGACAATGCGTCTCAAGACTGGAGGTCATTTGGGGTGTCATTTCCATAATGTTACTTATAAGAAAGTAACAAGGGGAATGCTGACTGTATAATGCATTTAATTGTCATTCTGCTCAGCGATATCCCAATAGCTTTCTGTTAGTCAGCCCCTCTCAGGCTTAAGCAACAATCCTTTCTCAGAATGGTTCTTATCAGTATGTAATGAACCATCACGATTAAGCGTGTAAGCCTGCTTTAGTTGATGTCCTTCAGCTCCTGGTTACTCATTTTGAGTGCATCTCAAAGATCGAGGGAGCACTTAAGTGCCATTGGAGACAAATAATCCTCATTGAAGTGATGTTCCAAGTCTTTTTTATGAGTTTCAAACGCTTGCCCACATGGGCTTGAAAGGTGCCTATTAAAAGTTATTATAATCATCATCTCTCACATCGATTATGCTCATTTTCTCCTGTTTTTGGATAGTTTGTTTCCATGTTGTCAGAGTAGTGAACATTGGAAAGCTGCACTTGTGTGCTCTGAACTCTTGACAGTATAACACAGACTGAACAGATATGTCAGCAGCTATTTTTCATTGTATTAATGCTTCACCTGGGTACTACAGCTCACTGCAGCACTCGGGCTGCTAATTTAGGAATGTGCCCAACATTTAGAAAAAATGCAGAAAAAACAAGATTTGAGAGACACATTTTCTCCACTGGAAAGTAAACATTTAGACAACTTTGACACATAGAGAGATCTTGGGCCTCATTTATAAAGGGATATACGCTCAAAAAATGGCGTACGGCAGTTTCTACGCAATGTTTGCGATTTATAAAATACTAACTTGACGGGAAAACGTGCGGTCCTCCACGCAAACTCTAACCCATGCGTACGCACTAAGCACAAAAACGGGAGAGACGAGAAACTGCGACACCGTTGGCAGAAGGAAGAATGGAGAGAAATATGTGGAAATAATACCATAAATAAAATGTTACCTCTCATTTATCATATATGAATTCATTTTCAAACATTGATTAAAGCCAATCTTAAAATGATTTAACAAACACCTGTTTGAGACTCCTCAGTGCACACAAAAACCTAGATGGGAGAAATAAATAAATATGGATATGTTATTTAAAACCACCTCGAATATGTTGTGTTAATGTTATGAAATGTTTTCTCATAAATTATGCGGTAAGCAGGAGGACAGAATTACGTCTAAACTGACGCCGTTTTGCATTTATATAGGTTGTAGATACGAGCATGGTTTTATATATGGTTTTACTTTTTTCCCGGGTCGCCGAGGATGCTGGCGTTGTTTTTTCGCCGCTCCTCCGCCCCAAATATTGTTCTTTAGTCCAGATTAGAACCTCTCCTGTCTGGCTCTCTACTTTTGAAACGCCGTCCATCAGCCAAAAATAGCCAGATGTGCTTGTCATCTCCTACCTGCTGGCTCTTTTCCTGCCTCACCTGTGCCCTAGGCCGCGCTAGACTAGCTGCATTATCGGAC